TTGTCATAGTTTTTATTTGAAGTAAATTAAAAGTTAAAAGTAACAAACATTTTCTAAAAATAATAAATGAAAACAAAAACTTATTAAAAAGTGTGTAATTATAAATAAAAATTTAATTCTGTTATTAAATTTACTGTCAAAAATACTCGACAATCTGCAAAAATTGAAGAAATATATTAATATATTTTTTCATCATTATACACTTTAAATACTTCTTTGTTTTTATTACTTATTAACCACGCCTATTATCCTCCAAAAGGATTTTCTCAAAATTTAATTGAGACAATCTGATATATATAAAATTTTGATATATATCCGATATATATCGTATATATCCGATATTTTGATATTTATAATAAATATCATGATATTTGCCAACCCTGTTTGTTATCCAAGGTTTTATCTCTTTATGATTTTTTTGTTTAATTTTTTTTACAATTTTACATGATTCAATACTATTGAGATATTTGTCATAGAACTTTTGAGTTGCTATTTCAGGGTTATTTTCATTGAGAACACTTTCCCATGTTAAAGCTTCAAATTTAGAAATTAGTTTGTCAGTATCAATTTTAGTTATAGTTGTATAGGTAGTTAGAGATTTTGTTTTATTTATTGAAAGAGGTTTTGAAATATTTATCATAACCGGATCATGATCGGTTAAATCGTAGTTTATCACATATGAGTTGAATTTTAATTTTTCGGTTTTAATATTGTTTCTTAAAAATATGTGATCCAAACAGGTTTTACTCTGAGCCCGTGTAATTGTATTTATATAAGACAAGAAGCCATTTGAGTGAAGAGTTGCTTCGTAGTTATTTGTGATATGATTTTTTCCATCCAGGAGATCGATATTAATGTCTCCTAGGGTAAAGGCACCAGTAATTGACACTACACCAGTAATTGACACTTCCTATTTATAATGCCTGAAATAAGGATATTTAAGTAAAATCTTTACCAAACGTGTAATTTATGTGTACAGTAATATTTCTTCTAACCATATATGTCTAGAAATCATACTAAAGGATAGCGCCACTATAGGCGGGAATAGTTTAATCTTTCAGTGTAACGGCAGGTTTCGATAGGTTATGTTTTCTTGTCAGATGTGTTAAGAAACGCTGAGCAGTATTTTCGATATAATTGACAAAAATTAAGGCATCTTATAGTTTTTACGGTACAGCAAAGAAGCAGAGGTAAGCAAGTATGCATATTTTATAAGCATTTTTGTTGATTTTATTGTTTTTTTTTTTGTGCAAAGGGGGGTGGCAATTATTGGATCTGTTCTTTTTAAATATTCCAGTAATGGTCACGAGTGGCAATTACTGGTGAATTTTAAAATAATTCAGTTAGCCCCGAATATAATGAGATAATAAAATCTAGAATTCCAAATTTTTATGTTTTAAATATGAGCAAGATATTTTGAAAAAATCCAGTAATTGCCACTGCTTCTTTAAAGTGGCAATTATTGGTTAGCTATAGTGGCAATTTTTTATTTAGGATACTAAAATGGAAAAAGCAAAGAAACCTTTCTTCCAATATTCACAAGAAAGCATGGAGGCTGCTATTGCAGCTTGTTGAAATGGAATGCCATATTCCACTGCGGCGAAAATGTATGAAGTACCAAGAAATACGTTAAAAAATAAAGTTCTGAGAAAAACACCACTGGAACGAAAAATGGGTCCTCTAAGTGTTTTAACTAAAACTGAGGAAAATGCCATTTTAAAATGGATAACCACAATTTCAAGCAAGGGATTTTTCCCTCATAAAGATGATCTATTATCAACAGTTCAAATAATGAAAAACACCCAACGTAAGAATCCATTCGTAAATGACAAACCTGGTAGGAAATGGTTAGAATCATTTTTTAAGAGAAATCCCACTGTAGCTGTCAGAACTCCTGAAACTTTGACCACCACAAGAGCTTCAGTAACAGAACACCAAATTAGAAAATGATTTGCAGAAGTTGATACCTTTTTCAAAAATGAAAATCTAGAAGACACTTTAAATTGTCCAGAACAGATTTTCAATTACGATGAGTCGGCGTTTCAAATATGTCCAAAATTAAACAAAGTAATCGGTCCTAGAGGAGAAAAAAATATACATGAAATTGCAGAAGGCTCAGAAAAAGAATCTGTAACAGAAACTATTACAGTTAGTGCAAGCGGTGTTTTACTACCGCCCTGGATGACAGGAAAGTCATTTTACTAATATGTAGCAAACGTTTTCCATCCTTGGCTGGTTAAAAATAAAATAACTTTTCCTGTTACCTTTACTTTGCGCCTCAGCAATTTCTGTGAACAAAAAATTCTTTTGGTAGCATTATTCCCTAACGCAACGCACATAATACAACCATGTGATGTATCGATTTTGGAAAAAAACTGTTCATGAGTGGAGATTGGACAGCAATATTGAAAATCTAAATAAAACAAACTTTTCGTTAATGTTTCGTGAAGTCATAAATGGGGTTACAAAGGAACACATTATTAATGGAATTAGAAGATGTGGGCTGTTTCCTTGGTCACCTGATGCTGTAGATTATCCAAATCCATGAGGGATAGAGCCACTAAATCAGAAGTCACACCTCAAGCTATACCTGTGCAACGAAAAAAGCTCACACATTTTGGATATTTAGAAACACTAATTAATTTTAAAAAATACAAGTGTATTAGATACAATTTACAGTGTCCTTTTTATTTCTGTTCTATTTGCTTGCACATGCCAAATTTGGCATTGGCCATTACTGGCCAATTACAGTGGCAACTACTGGATTTTCTAAAATATAATTGTGGCAATTACTAGTATTTCTGACTAACATGAAAAAATATTTCATATTGAAAGAAAAATTCACATGTCTTGTGAGATGTTACAACTAATATCTCTCAGTGAATCATTACTACATACTATGATTTTGTGTAAACAAAAGAAAAGTCATGTTTCATATTTTTTGCAATTAATTTCATGTAAATGCTTGCTTATAATGGCAATTACTGGTGCATTTACCCTATAAACATTTCAATACTTTTGTTTAGGTGAGTGGGGATGTAATTTTCTATGTCTCGAATAAATGTATCTGCCGAAGTTTGAGGAGACCTATATAAAGCACTAATGCCAATAGTTGTATGATTTGCTGTTATGTTTATTTTAGTAATACAAATGCCTGAAAGTTCGAGCTTTATTGTGTTTATTTCTGCATTTAATTTTGATTTGACTAAAACTATGACACCATCATTTCTATTAATATTACTGTTGTTGTAGTGTAATATAAATAACATTTTTTATCTATGGATTGATAAAAAATGTTTTTGAGAGTTAGACAAAAAGTAGATTTTTACTCCAAACAAAGCTGCGAGATTACTCTGGAATAAAGTATCATAGGCGACTAGTTTATTAGAGCTAATCTACAAAATAATCCTGTGTTTTCAGAGTTGTCAACATGTCTAGAAGGCTCGACTCTTTTGAAAACCGTACATGCAAAGCAAAGTACATTTAATTTCTTAGTGACCAAAAGGTATAAAACATATTTTCAAAAATAATACATTTTTTATCACTTTTCTTAAAGCAATAAAATGAAAATATCAAGATCTATCTGTATTCAAAATTTCAACATTCTATCTTTGAAAACAAGGAAGTTTAGCATAAAAATATTAAAATTCACATAATCACATAATCTTTTGAAAGCCGTTTTCTCGAAATTAGGATTTTGTGGCCTGGCACTCTTGACATCTACAGCGACAATATTTATTTTACAAAAGACAATTATAATACTATTGAATCTAAAATACAGAGTCATGCAGCCACAGGGGTAAATTTAAACAGTTAAAAATAATTACAATGGTAGGAGTTTATATATCCATTTAAAAATCATGAAAAATTTGAAATACATAGGATACAGCACGAGTACAGCATAATTTAAATACAAGAAATCATATCATAAACTACAATATACCAACTCATAGACTTTCAACAACTGAAAAGCAGTCTGGATATGTTTACATCCAGTTTTTCAATAAGTTGCCAAATTAAAACGTGAAAACAACATATAGTGCTTTAGCAGCCCACAAAAAAATCAATGCCCTTTCATTTGCTTGTTGTTATTTGTTTCCCGTTTTTATTTACTGTTAATTTACTCATGTGTTACTAAAATAGATATTTGTTTGTTTTTAAGCTAATTTATTAAAAGTTTTTAGGATTTTATTGTATATTCCATATTGTAACCATTTTATTTCATTTTGATTGCATAAGATGCAATTCACTTTTATGTGTATCTGGGAATAAAGTTTTTTCTATTCTATACTAAAGGGTCTAACTTGGCCACATTATAAAAACTTGCCTTCTATACAAATCAAAAAAATCTGTCATCTGATGTGCCCCCATTCCGAAATAACAGTCAGAAAATAAGTTTAAATTATAAAATCATGTATATAATTAATTCTGATGCCTAGTTACGATCATATATTGTTTATTAAGTTATCAAGTGTTGGGTTGAATTAATAGTGCTGTTCCTAAAGTGGCACTGTACACAGTAATAAAACCTACACAAAGTTAATAATTGTAGCAACTGATATCCATTGCACCAAAGTAAAAAATATATTTCAAAATGCTGTGATAATTTTGATTATTTCTATGAAAAGTGAGCTTGTCATCCCCCCCAATTAATCCTCAATATTTTATATAGTCCATGTTTCAAAGAACATTTACACTAATATTTGTAATGCAAAGCCAGTAAGCCAATTTCTTGTTAATATAGAAACTCACAAGGAAAGGTATCAATAACAATGTAAAGTAAAGTCACTTATGCTATATGATTTTTAATGAATATATTAGTAAACAAATTGAGAACTGTATTAGGTACTTATCTACATCTAAAAATAGTGGTAGTATATAGAACATACATTTACCCAACAGCTGTCAGGTTTAATTCTATATGAATAAATACTGGATACAAAATAACTTATGGAAAGCTTTGAAAAATTTCCCACATACATTCTGAAAGTCATACTTACTCAACAATGGCATTAATATTAGGATTTTGATCATATTCATCCTAAAATAAAAACCAAGTGTTAAAATTTTAAAATCATTTTTAAAAACAAAATATATAAATAAATCAGCATCTGTTATAAATTGCATGCTTTCTAAATGATCAAGGATATGTCTAGGTGTGACATTGATAATGAGTTGTATAAAATTCTAAAAGATAAGAAATATGTTTTGAAAAAAATGCTATATCACTATAAGTACAAAGAAAACATTAATTGGTTAAAAAGAAACCGTTCATTTACCTCTTCAATTTCAATTGCATCGTCTGAATCATCCACTTCTACTGTTTCAACATCATGTAGTTCCAAATCGAAAACACCTGCCATTTTAGCGATAAAGTGTTGAATTTACATCTAGAATATTGGATAAAAGGCAGAATTTCGAATATTTTTATACAATTATTGCGAAATATGATGATAATTATATTAGTTTTTAAAATTTTGTGCTAGCACGACACCATAAAATAAGGTTATGTCTAAATTCATTGCTACCAACAACTAACACCAAAATTAAAATTGACCTACCTAAGCGTCGCCAACCAACGATAATAAATGTTCCTGACACCAATATTTTATTTTAAATTGTCTATTCAACGTAAAAGTACTAAAAGTAGTGTTCCAAAGATATTTCTTCAGTGATTTATTAAAAATGATGTCTGTTTGCATAAAAAGTATCTTGACGCGAATTGATTGATCATAAGTGTTTGTTGTATTACCAGTATCAAATATTTGCATAGGTTCTAAATGAAATTGAGTTTCCTTTTTAATAAATTAAGAGCTTTTTGGATTTATTCCAATCTCGTATCAACCTTGGAAATATTGCTTCAGGGGCGGATGGGCCCACCGGTGCGCTGGTCCTACAAATGCCGGTAGGCGCCGGTCCTAGAACCGACAGGCACCGGTCCTACCGGCGCCGATAAGCGCAGACACGGATTTTTGAGTTTTTGTTGATTTTTTTATGTATGTAAAAAATACTGATTCGAAAATCCTTTATTTTTCGTCATAGTCTTCTGCTTTTTGTTATATACTATTCGCTAAGCGAAATTCAAGACCGCATTTATGCCGCTCCTATAGGCCGATTCATCCAGCTCTGTGAGATAGACGTTGGCAATAGACCTTTTCATCACAATTTTTTTTTGTGCGCATGCGTCAGTATCAGCCATTTTTTTCGTAGTTTTTTGTAAACAAGCATGTTAAAATGTCCACGTGAAAAAAATTATAATCGATAAATATTAATTTTAAGTGTATTCGTTTAAAAAATGGGATTAAAAGAATAAAATTATAAGTGTTTTAATTGAAAAATCAATTTTGGCAATTATGTTATCTTTACGGAAAGGAAAACTAAACGGTATTGTTATGAGTATGTAAAAGTGACACGGTATAAATTATTATTTTATAAAAAGACTTGCCTGCAATATCGTAAAAAATCTGATGTGTCCAACACATGACTTTCCTATCTAGTTATTATAGGCTTTTTCCGGTTATTTTGTACAACCTATTGCAGCACTTCTATAAATGTTTAGAGGATAAACTAAATATATACATTTTCGATTTCCACATACATCTACCCAGACAGCATACCAAATCCTTTGGATATCTACTGAACATCCCAATATCCACTGAATGTCCAGTCCATGGTAGATATCTATTTTATATCCATGAAATGTAATTTATAGACATGCAAATGTCCATAAATAATAGTAATTATATAGCAAATTATTAAAAAATTACGCCATTGCGCTCGCCATTGTGGCTAATAGTACCGTTCAGATATTTAAAATTAATTTTTTTAAGGTGTATTCAATATCCCATAAACATCCACTAAATATATCAAAGTCTAGGCGCGAACGCAAACCATCGTGGATATCCACTAGATATTTAATTTTGCTTACTAAGTATAGATGGCGGTACCACTATCGCATCTACTCATGCTCGACCCGCCGTAATTTAGTTCGATCGAAATGTGTGTCCTAATCCCTCCATTAGAGACTGAAGTCGAGAATTTTCATTTATTGCTAAAGAGTCCTAATAAGGATGACTTTCTCCTTAGTGGGCAAAATCAAAGCCAGAGTGTTGAAAATATTTTTTATCTCTGCTATTTTCTTTCGACGTTATTAATCATTGGTTACTTATGAACGTCTACTAAAGATACCCATAAAATATTTTGCTGAATATCCGAATATCTTCTATATCCTGGTATATAGACGGACATTTGGTTGGATATCCATATTGGATATATTGAATATCCACAAAATATATTCTATGGATATCTCTGTGATTTCTTGTATTTTGTGGAAGATACCCATTAGATATTTTGCTGAATATCCATTAGGATATTTTCTATATTCTGGATATAGACGGACATTTGGATATCCATATTAGATCCACGGAATATTTCTGATATCCTGTGGATATATTGGATATCCACAAAAGATATTCTATGGATATCTCTGGGATTTGGTGTGTTGTCTGGGTAACTCGACACATTTTTATATATATTCTATAAAATATAAAAACGGACTCCCATAAAGTACTCCCCCAGATGTTCCGACTTTATCTAAAATTTAATCATTTCACGTCAGGCCGAAATAAAACTTAGGTTAAAAATTTAATGTTTTTTCTTTATCCGTTTTTGAGTTTTCTTCAAAATTTGAAATTTACACATTTTCTCAAATATCTCGAATACGGTCTATTTTAGAGAAATTATGTATGAAATAAAAATTATAGAGAATTATGTTACAAACAACTTTTATTTGAACAATTTTTATAAAAAAATATTTTTTTCATTTTGTCAAATTTCTCGAATACGGACCATTTTAGGAAAATTTTGTAAATAAAAAGAATTATAGATAATATAAGAAGTAACTTTTATTTAAAGAATTTTCTTCTCCAAACGTAAATAACAGATATATTCCATAAAATATAAAAATGATCACCTATAAAGTACCCCCCAGATGTTCCGAATCT